CTACACTTCTTCTGCTTTTTAGATGAAGTTAAGAAATAAATAGGCTTCGAATCTATTTCAATTTTAGGAACACATAATCAACTTGCCAATGTCATAGGTTTCTGAGAGTCAGACTATTCTGATTACTGCTTTGAAGACTCTGATGTCCATTATGGTGACCATACCCACTTTATCTTTGGTGATTAAGTGCTGCCACTCGGCCCCTGTCACCACAGGATCCAGTTACTCACCTGCATTTAAGGATCCCAGTTCAGTGGCAGCACTTCTCACTGTAATTCTTAACCTATAGAAGTAACCACAGAGCTCTTCAACAGTGTTTGGTTCCTATAGCAATTCCTTGCTTCACAGTCATGGTAAAAGTTGTGAGTGAGCAGGTTTCACATGATAAACCCACTCTGACACCCCAATCTCCCTAAGCTTTTGAATCTCTTCCTCTACATTAAACCAAGGCAGGTCTGGCATTTCCAGCTCTCCTGTTGTGGGCCATGTTTTAGCCAGTCAGCCAAACAAACTGGTAGATCCCTCCTAACCCCACAAGGTAAAACATTAAATCCAGAATCTCTTGCTTCATGGGGCCATGTCAGTAAATTTGACCTAATTCAACTTTATGTTCTTTCCACAATTATCCCATATTCTTTTTTAAAATTAATCCCACATCCTTAATATCTATTGCCACACATATTCCTCAGAATTCTGTCTGTATAAATTGGGGAATAGATGCAATTCTTTTCACTGTAGCATACCTCCTCATGGGTCACAGTTTGATTAGGAGTATCCAGTGCTGATATTTTATATATTTCTATAGTTATATTAGTCTTTTCTTTCATGCTAGAAATAGAGTCACTGATGCCTTTAATCAGATTAGAGAACAAATTCTGGAAACCCCAGAACCAATTCAGAAAACTCCTTCTTAAAGTTATATTCCTCTAAAACCACTCTTGGTTCCAAAATCTGTATCAGTTAGGATTTTCCAAAGAAACAACCACTTTGTATGTATACATATGAATGCACATATACATAAACATAAATATTTATGTATGCATATGGAAACACACACATATATGTATGGAGAAAGAGGGAGACAGAGACAGCAAGGGAGACCTTAAGGCATTGGCTGTCATGATTGTGGTAGCAAGGCTCTCTTACTGATTGGATGAGGCTAATGTACATTATTGAGAATAATCTCCAATACTTAAAGTGAGTCTACTGTAGATATTATCCACATTTACAAAGTTTTTTCAAAGCAGAATATAGATCAGATTTTGACTGAATAACTGGGGACTATACCATAGTCAATTTGATACATAAAGTTAACCATTACAAATAGCCTTTATTTTATTCCAGAGTCTGCAGGTTGGCTGTAAGTAAGTCTATTTAGGCAGGGATGTGAGGGTGGCTCTGCTTCACCCTATGTTCTGTGGGCCATTTAAGGAAATTTTGCTTTATGTATGTCATTCTGGGCCCTGGCCAAGTGTATGGCAGCTTCTTGAGATGCAAGAAGTGCAAGAGAGCAGTGGGAACATGAGAGACCATTAAAGAAGTCAACACATGGTCACTTCAATGTTGGCAGGAGCAAGTCACGTGGTGAAGTCTAAAGTCAATGTATGGAGAAGCCACTCCCTCCATGATAAATTTATGGCATGAAGAGGGTGCCAAGAGAGATAGAGAATCTGGGTCAATCATTCAATTTTCCACAAGTGTTTACATATTTTATCTTATGGTTAATTACAGCCTTTATGTCTTTCATTGCATCTATAGAGAACCAAAAGTTATCAATATAACCTTCACTCAAATGATAGTGTTTACCTAAAAGATATTTCTTTGTTGTGGTGTTTTATTTTTTGCAACTATTTTTGTTACTAACTCAGATATATTATTACTGACATATTTATTGTTTACCAAAGGCTTCCCCTCAAATATGAATAATTTATTTCTGACATCATATGCTGTCAGAAAAATATAAACATAAATATATAAATAAATATATATTTATACTTATATAAATATAAATGGAAATAGGCTAAAAGGATCAGATAGAATTATATATTTGCTTTCATTGGGAAGAACATGTGGAAGTTTAGTGTTTAATTTTGCCTGGATAAATATTATTGTCATGCATCCCTACAACATGGGTTATCATATGCATGTATACTTCTTTGCTCTACCAGCTGACAGGGTCTAAGTAAGTTGTTGAATAAATAAATAATAAATGGGGGAAGAACAGGCACATCTTCTATCCAGAGTAATTTAAATAATTTATGTAGACACTTCACCTGCAAGGAAGCAAAGCATAACTTCCCATTCCTTAAGTATGAGCTGCTCATAGTGACTTCTAGCCAAAGAGTAAAGTATGGAGAGAGGGGAAAAAAAAGAGTAACTTACCAGTGGGGAAACCTGATAAACAGTATTCTAGTCATGTGGTCACAGTCAGCCTCCACAGTGATAAGTTGTGTTGACAGTGTGGACCTCTGATACATTGTGGTGAAATAGTACCAATCTCTGTGGTATCCTCCCCAAATCCCTTAGCTCTAGTATAATCATGAGAAAAACAGCAGAATAATTCAATATAATTATATTCTACAAATTACTGATTAGTACTCCTGAAAACTGATAAAGTCATTTTAAAAAAACGAAGATCTGAGAAACAGTCACAGCCAAGAGGAGCCTGAGACATGGTGAATAAATATAATGTGGTGTCCTGGATGGGATCCTAGAGCAGAAAGAGAACATGAGAAAAAAAAACCAAGAAAATTGGAATCAAGTATGGATTTAATAATAATATAATAGTATTGATCCATCAATTTTAACAAATGTGTATACTAATGTAAGATGTTAATAATAGGGAAAAAAGGAAATGTGGGCTATATGGGAACTCTCTGTGCTATTTTCACAATATTTATATAAATCTAAAGCTGCTATAAAAGTTTATAAAAAAGTCTCAAAATTTTTAAATAAAAGAACTGAACATCTTTTACTCCAATTTTTAAATTTATAATCACTGAAAATAGTTTTATTATTGTATGCAATTTATTCTTACCCAGTAATTAACTTGTTTTAAATCTCATAATAATTTTTTTCTGAATAAATATTGATGTTACTACCTAATATTTTGATGAAAGATAATGGAAGATTCAGGGAAAAGAATGAAAATGTTAAAAATGGTAGAGATGCAGGCATAATGCATCATATTATTAATGATGTCTTAAAATGTATTCAGCATTTGAAACTAAACATGAGCTTATGTTTAGACAGATGGCTAAATACCCTCATGTCTATTTCTCTAGTTGCTTTTTAGTAGCAGGAAATTGATCTTAGAGATACCATGTTTTTATATAATCAATAAATATTGAAAGTCTACTTTTATAGTAAAGGAATAACTTTATGTCAAAGTTGGAAATAAACAGATATTATAGTTTTTCCCAACACAGTCTTTAAAAGCAATTTTGAAAAATAATTGATAAAACAAAACCAATTTCTCATGGATATCAAAAAATTAAGTAATTTAAATAGAGAGGGAGACAAACCATAAGAGACTCTTTAAGATAGAGAACAAATTGAGGGTTGATGGAGGGAAGCGGGTGGGGGATGCGCTGAATGGGTGATGGGGATTAAGGAGGGCACTTGTGAGGAGCACCGGACATTGTATGTAAGTGATGAATCACTCAATTCTACTCCTGAAATCAATATTACACTATATGTTAACTAAATAGAATTTAAATAAAAATTTGAAAAAAAAAGATTGCCATCAAAAAATAATTTAAAAAGAAAGAAAAAAGATTAATTTATATCATCAAATTACAATTTTTATCATCAAATTACCTTTTATTTATAAATGATTTGTTGCAACCTAGCTTTACTATAATCAAGCTGCTTATGCATTCCAATTAAGTAAAACCAGGTCCACAACCCACAAAACTTATTTAGGGAAAATATATTATGCAGCATGTTCAGTTAACTGTTGAAAACAGTCAATCTCTTTTCTTTCAGGGGCAATAGTAATAATCCAGTGACAGCTTAAGTGAATTTCCTGCTCTATTGCACCCACACTTACTTGATAAACACTTGACAAAGTGTTTATCAACCTAATATAACAGAAAATGACAAAGAAGGACAAAATAATTTCCTGTTCCTAAGACTGAAAGGAGGATTAATTTTGAGAAGTCCAGTCTTTTACTGTGGAATTCACCATACATTTTACTTTGAAGTCTCATTTACCTAAATTATATCATATTTTGGCTCTGCATTTTTTCCATAGTGTCAGGGTGTCAATTTTCTATGACCATTCTTAGTTATATTAAATTTCTCATATAACTAAAATAAAATTCTCTAAAAGTATTAAAAAAAACACATATGCATTTTATATGTATTAAAATCTATGTTCACCATTTAGTTATTATAATGAGCACAAAATGAATCTGTATCAGATATTTCATACATCGATTTATCTTAATATTATTCACTCTGATAAATAGTTTGTTTCCTTACATAATAGTGTTTGTGAATAAAATTTTAAGTTCCAGAGAGAATTATTCATGCATGTAGCTTTTTAATTAAAAAGAGAAAGATTAGTCAACCTTTTTTCAAGAGATAACCACAAGAAAGGCAACTTTTAATTACTCCTTTGAAGTTTCTTTCCCAGTTGCAACCTCAGGTTTCAAAACGAACGCTGGGAATGAGCGAACACTTGAGAGAAGAGGTCCATCCTATCTTAGATCGTGTCTGAATGCTCAGTGGAGTGGAGAGGTGCAGGGAAATGCACCCTCTTGGTCACACTGAACCATGGCAGTACGTTTAGGATGCACAAGGGCGGAGGTTGAGATTTTTTTCTCTTCCTTCTGCTCTTTTCATTGTACCCCGGGAATTCTTGTTCCTTACAGGTGGCCTTAAACAGTTTGCCCACAGGATCTGCTTCATAATTGCTTATGCTTTGCTTTATTGGCGTTCTCCACTCTTACACTCGATGCTGTGCTTGATGGCTTACCATTTCTCTGTCTTTTCAGACAACATCCTTCACGGTGCCGTAGCACATGGATTTCAGGACTGCCTGTGAAGAGGTATGTTACATGGCTTTCTGCTTTTTGAATAAGGAAAACAGGTTATAAACTGGACATACTTGTCCTCCTTTATGTGAGTGGAACACTGCTTTTGGCAGAGGGATGGGTGACAGGTCCATTTCATTTCCAGGGTATGATCTGTTTCTGCAAGACTAAAAAGCCAAAGAGTGCCTGGGAAAGCCTCGGATTTTCACTCTTCCTTAAGAAGACTGGAGCATATTTGATTTGATTACATTGCCCTTCTCCATAAACTCTGCACTCACTGCATGATTTCAGGTAGTATGTTGGAAGTAATTCTTTTCACATAAATGGTTATAAATTAGAAGACATCGGAAGTCCCTTTCAGCACTAAAATCGTATGATTTTATGATTCCAATATTATTTAAGTATTTCAATATTATTTAAGTATATCAATTCAGATTCTCTGTAGAGCTGTCTTCACACTTTGGTGTGAATTAAAGTGATACATTGCTCTTTTAAGGATATTAAAGACCATTCAAGTGTGTACTCAGTAGTGCACGGAGTTAGGCCCCCGAGGATATAACCATTCTATTTTAGGAAAAAACACTATTTTACTAAACATCCAAAGCATTCTTTCATTCTTCAGGCAAAATGCAAACACTCATAGGTTAAAATATTCCATATTTGTTTAAAAGGTTTAAAATATTTTTATTGTATATAGATACCCCAAGAAAAACAACCATAATTAGATTACCTATGATACAGTTAAAAACAAACCAACAAAAAACTTGTTATTAACATTTGTGAAGATTGTTCTTTTAATGAGATGTCAAGTGTTAAGTTTCTTGCAAAAATATCTACTTTTATGTTTTTATTTTTATTCTTTTAAAGATTTTTATTTATTTATTTGAGAGAGAGAGGATGATAGACAGCATGAGAGGGAGGAGGGTCAGAGGGAGAAGCAGACTCCCTGCTGAGCAGGGAGCCTGATGTGGGACTTGATCCTGGGACTCCAGGATCATGACCTGAACCGAAGGCAGTTGCTTAACCAACTGAGCCATCCAGGCACCCAGCAAAAATATCTACTTTTAAAAAAACATTTGTCATAGTTGTTTCAAAGTTTAGAACATAAGCAAGATCTTTCAGAAAATTAATAAGTTGCTTATATATATTTTTAAAGATTTATTCATTTGAGAGAGAGAGAGAGCACTCACGTGCATGCACATGAACCTGACAGTGGAGGGGAGGGGCAGAGGGAGAAAATCTCAAGCCAACTCCTGGCTGAGCTTGAAGCCTGATGTGGGGCTGATCTCACCACCCATGAGATCAAGACCTGAGCCGAAACCAAGAGTCATTTGCTTTCACTGACTGAGCCACCCAGGCGCCCCACTTTTATATTTTAATACTTAAGCTAAACTTTTTATTTTCTAAAGGATTTTCTCTACACTAACACTCTTCAAATTACATTATAGTTATTTATTTACAACCTCTCTTACGTGCTGCACTAAATACTATAATGTCAGAGTGTATAATTTATTCATCCTTTTAACTCAGTATCTATCAGTTCATACTTTTTAAAAATGATTTAATGCTTTAGAAACTTAAATTTAGAAACATAAATTTTAATTCTGTGACATTTCTAGTGCTAAATACGTAGTATCATACTCTTAATTTTGGATGTGGTAAGTCTGTTTCTATCTCGGTGCCTGTTATCTTATGTTTTGGGTAGTAAAGCACTCATTGAATGGATATTTGCATGAATGAGATACAAATGAAAAACAGGAGATTCATGAGATCCTTAAAGACAGAGTAGTGGCCAAATACTGTTTTAACACATGGCTTACCTTGGACTTCAGAGGTTGACCTAAGATTGATTTTTCAGACCTTTTTTTTTAAACAAAATTGTTTGATTCATTGATTTGGAATATATATCAAGTATTATTTAAGGTTCAGAGATTTATTTTACAATGATAATACCATTGTGATCATCTTACCCTTGCTTCTATAGACAGAGGTTCTTGTTCTTTTGCAATGAGCCCTTTGATAATTTCTACCATTTTAGACTGTCCCCAGGGAAGAGTAAAGTGGTCTCAGAACTGCTCAGCAGCCATGTGTCTTCCACATGCTGGCTGGGTTGGCAGGAGTACAGAACTATGAGATACTCTGAAGATGATCAAATCCTCCCATAAATGGATCAAAGTCAATGAGTTTGTCTGAAATTTACAGTCTTAGAACATGTAAATGGACAGAAACCATAAAGAAAATTCAGCTTAACTCTCTCACTTTGCAGGTGAGGAAATTGAGAGGTTTTATGAAATGCTAAGTGCTATTTAATTAATTAGTTAAAAGCAAAACCATAATGTGTAGCTTAGAACTCCTGAGTCTAAGTTTGAGCATCTTTCTAAAATATAACATAGCCAAAGATATGTTGAATAAAACTTGATTTCTCTTGACTGCTAATAAGCTGTTAAAATGCAAATCTGATATCCATATCCATTGGACAGATCTAGCTAGATTATAACCATGCACATACCGGGAAGTCTCTTCTTTGAGAAGAAATGGAAATATGTCTAGTTCCATGTAAAATATCTTAATTTTCTAATACAGATCCTTTGTAAAAGAAAAGTTTATCAATTAAGAAGTTTCTCCTCTTAAAAAGAAAATGTTGCAATACTTTTAAGGAGCTTGGATTTAGAAGTCTGATAAAATGCAAAAGTGAAGGTAGAGAATACAATTGGGACAACACAAAATCCACAATTTAGAAGAAAAAGTGCATGTTATGGGAAGGTATAATTACTGATTTTCTGCTTTTAAAAGTGTCATCAAAATAATAACGTGTCAGGGGCACCTGGGTGGCTCATCGGTTAAGTGTCTGCCTTCGGCTCATGTCATGACCCCAGGGTCCTGGGCTTGAGCCCTACGTCAGGCTCCCTGCTCATCAGGGAGTCTGCTTCTTCTTCTCCCTCTGCCCCTTTTTCTCCTCCTCCTGCTCGTGCTCTCTCTCTCTCAAATAAATAAATAAAATCTTTAAAAAAAATAAAATTACAATGTGTTCAAGAAACCACTATGCTATCTTTAGTGTAGGTATTCCTCAAATTTCATTTTCACATCTGTCTTCCTTAAAATATGATCCACATCTTTGTGTTGACCATGAAAATACATATTTTTCTATAACTATATTTAATAATTTAAAATTCATTTACATATATAATTTAATTTAGTCCATATAATAAGAATTTGTGATTATGATTCAATCAACACATATTGAAAGAAATCCTACTATCAATTAAACACTGTACTAGGTCCTATATATGAATAGTCTTTAATGATAAAAACGGTGTTAACTTATTATTAAGATCTTCTTGTGATAACAATGTATGTGATGAGGTTAAATATTGTGATATTATTGAAGTCACTACATGTGATGCCTAAATACAGTTCTGGTTAATTGTTAGGTGAATATATTTATTCAATGAAAACCCTGAGTTCAGAAAAGGATGCACTTGTCTTGGATGGAGTGGTCTTGGTAAACCTCAAGGCGAAGTGAGTCATGTACTAGTACTTGACAAATGGCTAGAATTTAGCCAAGGAAAAGGCCATGACAAGGGAAGACAAAATGCAATTGGAGGCATACTGCATCAAATGGCATTTAGGGCAATATTGCTATAATATGGTAGGGTATAAGAAATTACATGTCATTTAAAACTGTAAGTTTACAGAACAAATTAAGTTATATCTGGCAATCAAAATATGGAAATATCAAGGATACCTGCAAAACTATGTACAGGACATGTCATGGTCTCTGCCCAGTTCCTTGTAGTTTGTAGTTTTTTATGTCTGATTTCAAGAATAAAGGAGCATAGAGTTTAAAAGCTTCATGAAAGCAGGGGCGCCTGGGTGGCTCAGTTGGTTGAGCATCTGACTCGATTTTGGCTCAGGTCATGATGTCAGGTTCTGCGCTCAGTGCAGAGTCTGCTTGAGATTCTCTCTCTCTCTCTCCCTGCTCACACACTTGCTCTAAATAAATAAATAAATAAGTAAAATCTTTAAAAAATTTTTTCGTGAAAGCACATGTTCTTTCAAAGTCTAAAACCTAAATTAAAGATGCTTTAACTTTTTAAGATTTATTTATTTGAGAGAGAGAAAGATTGAGAGAACAAGTGGGAAGAGGGGCAGACAGAGAAGCAGACTCCCTGTGGAGCACAGAGACCAAGGCAGGACTCAATCCCAGGACCCTGGGATCATGACCTGAGCCGAAGGTAGATGCTTAACTGACTGAGCCACCCAGGTGCCCAAAGAGGCCTTAACTTTTAAGTATAAAGGAATCATAGCCAATTTTTTAAAGTTCCAAGGTAATAGGTTTAAGCTAAGCATAAATTCTTGTTAAGTTTAAATGTGAGGTCTGTTTGTTTAAAACAGAGTAAATCCATGTAAATCCATAGATACACTTCATTGATTTACAGAAACAAGTCAATGACTAGATTTTAAAAAGTATTGCCTGTTAAATAATCAAGAGGCATGGCCTTTTAATATTCCTCTAAACAAACAATGTGGATTTTGTAAAATCCCCCTGCAATAGAGTATCATCCATCAGGCACAGGAAAACAACATTTGAATCTATATTATTTTGTATGACTCATCCCTTTAAAATTTCAAGTTTTATGTACGTTTTATAATTTACATAGAGCACATACATTTCTTTACTTATGTACAATGAGTACACAGTCCACAAAGTTTGAAGACAGATGATTGTTATGTTAAAAAAGAAACAGATAGGTGCAGGACTTAAGTTTATACTAAATGTGCAGCCAATACTTATTTAGGAGATTTTTTTTGTTTTTTTATTTTTCAGCAGTTGTGCTGTACTAGTGGTCACTCACAGTCCTGGTTCCCATTCTTAACCCTGAAGCAATCTATGGGGGATGAGGTTGTGCAGATTAAGCCTCTCCCCATATCAGACAGTGTCCTATGCATCCTCAGTAGTTTGTCTTTGATGGGAAAATCATCAGATCAGAGCGGTCTCACTCACTTTACCCCCCCCCACCATTGGTTATTGCTTTTGATAAAGGAAGAACAGTTGGTTCGTGATGATGGCCTTCTCACAACTCTTTGCACTCCCGTAGGAGATTCTTGGTGACCAAAGTGTTACCTCCTGGTGAGAGACACTGATGGCCATGTCACTGTTTCTAGGAGGATTGGGTGAGGCAGCCTTCAAATGATCTGTGCATGAGGGAAATCAGAGCAAGTGGTTTGGAGCACAGACCCTGGAGCCCAGCAGCCTGGGTTCAGATCCTGAGTTCCATTCATTTCTGCTCCTCTGCTCTATTCCTACTTATGAAAACAGTTGCACTGGGTTGTTAGGAGGATCAAAAGAAATAATATTTCTGGAAACACAGTAAACTTTGTGCAAGTGGTTATTAAACAACAAATGAATATAGGACTCCATTTCACTAGTGGTGATACCAGTCCAGCAATGCTGCTCTGAATCAGAAGAGTGCCCTGAAACGGATTTTACCCATTCTTTTAATCTACTGTACCAGCTCTGATTCTAATGCAGTTGTTTACCAGCCCTCAACATCTTCTGCTCAAGGTTTATATTTCTGTTAACAAAAATTATGTTGTAACTTTCCCAATTCCTATCCATCTCCTGCTCTAAGAAATATATTTATAAAACATAAATCACTGTTCAGATTTTTCTAGGACATCTCCAATACCTTTAAACTCCTGGAACATCACATAAGGGCCCTGACCTTCCTCCTCTTCACCTGGCACCTCTCCTCCCTTGGCCTTTGCTGGATCATGCAGATTTAGGATTGGGATGCATTCTCATGCTTCTCTCTTCTTGCATCATGTCAGCTATCCATTCTTATGCTTTCATATTTTACTCCTTTCTCCCCCTTGAATAAAATAACTTTTGTCTTCTCTAATTATTTCCTCAATTTATTTTTTAAGACAAGCCATACATTTTTTTATCTATAAAACTTTCTTTAACACCTCCCTCCCCCAAGAATATTTAACTCTTCTCTCCATGTTGCTCCCACATCAGATATCACATGGCATCTTATGTATATATGTATATTTTTGTAAGTAAGAATACTCTGAGGTCAGAGACTATTGTCTGATTCACGTCTCAATTATTTACAAATTACTTGAAAAATTGATATATTATGGGATTTTAAATGTATTTTCATGTACACAGCTGAATTTTTATAATAAGATATTATGTGACATCTATAACCCCTAAAGAATGAATTTAAGTTGAATTTGTTGATAAGCTTCATTAGTACTATTTTCTGTTTTCTTCAAATAGCTATTTATGTCTGTGTGTGTGTGTGTGTATTCATTTTAACAAAAGCTACTTCATTCTTTGTTTTCTTTAATTCTGTATTTTCAGGACCCAAATGTGAGCTCAAAGTCTGTATTCTGTTTTGCAGACAACTTTCTAATAACTAGGGGACATTTTATACATTATTTGAGTGAATGGCGCTTTGACCACATTGGATATGATGAGAGAAGTCTCATAGCTGTGTTTTTGTCCCTCAAACTTTCCCTGGATGATCTTTGATAGCTCTTTGATGTGTAACAATAATGTATTTATGGGCTCTCAGGGAAAGCCCCTCTTTCATCCTCATGTTGAGACAGAGCATTATTTGTGATTGCCAGCTCTATTCCATTATACTTCTGGGAGAAAATTGGCCCGAATGTACTGTACATTAAAAAATCAGCAAATGTGCTCAATTATGTTCACTTGGCTTTAATATTATTTTATACCCTCCTCTTTGCCATGCCACCTCAGAGAGTCCTGATGTTGGCTCCCAGCCAAGATCACATTGTAAGCATGAAAGACTTTTCTCTGTGAAAAATGTAGAAAATTATGTTCTATATTAAGGAAAATATCATTTGCCTTTGCTGAAATATTTTTGTCCTCTAGACATATCCACTTGAGTTATGCTCTAGAATAGATTAATCGACACAATTTAGTGAGTGCATGCTGTGCGCCCGTCTCATATAAAGGAGGAAAGAACAGCATCCTTGCACCTGGAAAAAACTTGTTTTTCCTTAAAAGATATCATAACCCTTACAATATAATTACAGACTAATATAAGACCATAGTGATAGAGAGTACAATGGTATGTATTAGCACATGGGATAAAGCATTTACAGAAAGGATTATCTTTAGAGGCATCAGTAAGTCTGTTCCCATTTACATTATGAAACATTCTTTTAAAGAAATAAACTCCTAGCAATCCATATGTAAATTTATATTCCAAGAGAAAGCCTGGTATCAGTGCCTGGAGTTTTGTGCTCATTAAATACTAAGGATAAATACATATTTCTATATACTTATCCTTTTTTTTATCCAAATTAAGAATGGTTTAATAATTATTAAATGAAAATGTAATTGCCAAAGTGGTCATTGTTCCTGTTGACTTTTTGGTGCAGAATGACAGCCAGCGATTATTTTCTGTTTCAAAAAAATTTCCTTTTGTATTTCTGACAAATGGGAACCTTAAGTGCATTTGCTAAGGAGCATATTTCTATTTATCTGGGTGAACATTGTATACTGACATGCTTCAGGAGTGATGGGCTTCATGGGCTTCTTCAGTGATTCCTGAGATACTGGTGTAAAGCTATGTAGTACAAGTTCAGGAGTCTTCACAGGCTGTTTTTACAATTCCCAAAAATATGTGAGGCAAAAACAATGGATTGGAAATCACAAATCGTGGGTCCTAAGCCAGGCTCTGTTTTTAATTAACTATATTAATTTAAGCAGTTCACTTCCCCCTTTATCCTCATTTTCTCATCTGTACAGCCTGTGTGTGTGTGTGTGTGTGTGTGTGTGTGTGTGTGTGGCGACTAGGAATGATGAAATCTTGGAGGATAGAAAAGATGTTAAGTGGGTGTGGTTTCAGATTCAAAATTCTATGATAGAGACAGAATGTAGATTAGTGGTTGCCTAGGGCTGGGGAGGGGAGTGGGATGATGCACATAATAGTTTTCCTTTTGGAGTGATGAAAATGCTCTAAAGTTGATTATAATGATGCCTACACAACTTTGTAATAAAAAACATTGTCTTACACATCTTAAAGGGTTGAATTGTATAGAATGTAAATTGTATCTCAATAAATCTGTTACCAAAAATTTTATATTTAGATTGTAAGTATTAAACAAAACTTTCATTATTTTTCAAAGATAGTGTATAAACTATACTCTTTACTCTCCTAATCTTATGTGGATTTTCTGACAAATCTCCATTACCTGAGGTCTACTTCACATGAAATCGTTAACCTTGTCTCTGCACCTATATTAAGTATTATGCTCCAGATTCATCAGAGTGCATTTTCCTTAGCTCTCAAATGCTATTCATCATGTTTTGCTGTGAATAGGCCATGAAATTATATTCCATAAACTAAGTATAATTTTTTTTTCTCTGTTTTGTTCTTTTCTTGCCTGAAGACAAAGACAGGGATTTGTTTGCTGCAGGATGGTAATCAGGAGCCTTTCAAAGTCCGGCTGCACCTAGCCAAAGATATTTTGATGATCCAGGAACAGGATGTGATATGTGTGTCTGGTGAGCCTTTCTATTCTGGTGTAAGTAGCTTTCCTTCTGTTGAAGTTTTTTGTTTTTTTGTTTTGTTTTGTTTTGTTTTCAATTTTTTTGTTAATAAAAATGTTTATTCACAGAAAATTCATAATATATTTTCCTTTTACTTACAGAGCATAGTCAATCCTCCTGCATGTAATTTTTGTTGACATTATTAAGTAAGCAGTGTCCTTGTATAAGTACAAAACCTAAGTCCACAGCCAACCATTATGGCCCATCCCCACACATTAGGGCATCTCTTTGACTTCCAGTTATTAAGTGGCTGCAGTGACACTTGTATTATCTGATCTTGAGAAAGTGCATTCTACCTTTTCATATAGAGGGACTATCTGAGAACAGTGCAGGGCAGTTTTTCCTGCCCCAGTCTTATCTTGCAATGCACTGGACTTTTGGAGGTGGTACAAAGGTGGAGCCCGATGCTTTGCATTTGAGAAGCATGAGGCTTTAGGTGGCAGTCACTGGACTCAATGGCAATGCTTTTCTCCAGGGGATTGTGCATGAATGATTCCATGGACCTCCTTGATAGAATTATGCCCAAGCATCATAGCAAGTTCTGTCTAACGCTCTAACTGTTTGGCATGTTACCCTGCTGCTAATCCAGCCTCAGAAAGAGCCATAAATTATCGCTCAAAACTCATTGGTCTGCTTATAAGCACTGAAGTACAGCTGTGGAAGACATCTTTAGGTGAAATTAGATTATATTCGACAAGACAATTTTAACATTAAAGAGGACAACTTTTAGAATTTATCATTTATTATGTAATAACATTAAAGACATTATTTTAACAGTGTTGCCAAATGTGATCTCAGAAGCAAATTACAGCAAATAACAAACAGTACTCTTCCTGGATTCCCAGACATCTATAGCTATTTAGCACAAAGATTTAATTTGTAGCTTATTCACAGATTTACCTTGGAGTATTTTGTTGGTGGTGAATAATGCTGAGCTGGAGTTTCCACCTCACTTTTCACCAACATCCTATGGGAGTCACACCAGGTCCTAAATCAATAGACCCTTGCTAACTAAAGATAATGGACATTTTGCAGACTGTTAACTATTCTTTTGTCACAGACCATTTAAATCACCCTGAATCATGGGTCTGGCTGTCAAAGCTGATTAAATTGTTCCTATGGAGTGCCCATTCTTCCTTTTAGTTAATAAAAGAATAGCAGGCAATGGTCACTTTCTCTCCCTTTTTTCCTTCCTTTCTTCTTCCTTCCTTCCTTTCTTTCTTTCTTTCTTTCTTTCTTTCTTTCTTTCTTTTATTCTTTCTTTCTTCCTTCCTTCCTTTCTTCTTTCTTTCTCTTTCTTTCTTTCTCCCTTTCTTTCTTTCTCTTTCTTTCTTCTTTCTTTCATCCTTCTTTCTTTCTTTTACTCTTTCTTTTCTTCCTTCCCTCTTCCTCCTTCTCCTCCTTCTCTCCTCTCTCTCCCTCTTTTCAGTGAAGCAATATGATTCATACATATAACTCTCTGTAATGAATATATTACACAAATTCTAGGTAAGTAAAGTGTTGTAATTTGTAAAATTCAGTCTATCAATACTGAAATAATGTTAACTGATTTTAAACTATGCAGTCAAAATAGTTAATACACAAAAACCCAATCTCTCTTTTGAATAGAACACGGGAAGAACTTGACAGAATTAAGGAGAAAAATCCTATGATAAAAACCAACAAATATAAAAAAACAATTGACAAAATTTGACAGTCATTTATAAGAAATACTTTCAGCAAAGTCTGGACAGCATGGAACTCCCTTAATTCAATAAGCCTCTAATGAACACTTCCACTAACATTATAGTTTATATTGAAGATACTCTCTGAGGCTGTAAGCAAGTCAAGGATCATCACTTGCTTCATTTTTACTCAATATTGTTTTGGTTGTACAGTAAGTCAGGAAATGGATATAAATGGCATAACAGTTGGGAAAGAAGAGGTAAACAGCTCTATTTTAGATGTCATGTTGGTACAAAAAATAGAGTAACATACAAATTAGGTTGCTGGAAATAAGGACAATGTCCAAAGTTAATTGTATTTCCATAATTTGCAACAAACAAAATAAAAATGGAATCCACAATACATTGAAGAGATAATACACTCAGGAATAAATTTAACAAAATATGTACAAAGTTTTTACCTTGAAAACTATAGAACTGTGATAAATGAAATGAAAGTAAACAAGTAAATGGAGAAATGTAACTAAATATTAAGTTTTCACATCTTCCTAAACACCCAATATCAATTAAAATCCCCAAAATATTTTTGTAGACCATGGGAAGTTGATTCTAGGATTTACATGGAAATACAAAGACTCAGTACAGCCCAAACAATCTTTAATAAGTAGAACAAAGTTGGAGTGTTTATACTTCCTAATTTCAGAACTCACTGTAAGTTGCCAAAATGAATACAATGTGATATTGTCGCAAGTACAGGCACATGAATCAAATGGAACATTATAGAGTCCAGAAACAGACCCACACTCATATGGCCAATGGCTTTTTTTTATTGTGGTAAACTATACATAACATAAAATTTACCATTTTATTTATTTATTTTTTAAGATTTTATTTATTTATTTGACAGAGAGAGAGAGCACAAGCAGGCAGAGTGGCAGGCAGATGGAGAGGGAGAAGCAAGCTCTCTGCTGGGCAGGGAGCCGGATGTGGGGCTTGATCCCAAGACCCTAGGACCATGACCTGAGCCGAAGGCAGCTGCTTAACAGACTGAGCCACCCAGGCGCCCCAAAATTTACCATTTTAACCATATTTAAGTGTACTGTTCAGTGGCATTGATCATATTCACATTGCTGTGAACCTATCACTGCTATCCATATCCAGAATTTTCATCATCCCATACTAAAACTCTGTGCCTATTAAGTAATACTCCCCTCAGCCCTTGATAACCTCTGTGCTACTTTGTCTCTATTAATTGACTCGTGAGTGGATCACACACTATTCATCCTTTTGGGTCCGGTTTATTTCATTTAGTATAATTCTCCAAGATTCAGCCATGTTGTAGGATGTATCAGAATTTCCTTCCTTTATAAGACTGAATAATATTCTATCCCCGTGTATATACCATATTTTGTTTACCTTGTTCATCCATCCATCCAACAGTGTACATTTGGGTTGTTTTCACCTTTTGGCCCTTTGGAATAATCCTAACATGAACATGGGAGCACAGATATATGAGTCATTGTTTTTCATTCTTTTGTGTATGTTCCCAGAAGTGGAATTGCTGGATGAAATGGTAATTCTGTGGCAGTTTTTTTGTTTGATCTCTTATCAGATATGTGATTTGCAAGTAATTTTCTCCCAACATATGGGTTGCATTTTTACTCTGTTGTTTCCTTTGATGCACAGATTTTAATTTTGATGAAGTTCAGTTTATTTATTTTTCTTTTGTTGACTGTACTTTTGGTGTTATATGTAAGAAATCATTGCCAGATCCAATGTCATGAAGATTTTCCCCTATATTTTCTTCTAAGAGTTCCTAGTTTCAGTTCTTACATGTCCATCATGTATATTGATTTATTTTGAATTAATTTTTGCGTATGGTGTTAGGTCCAGCTTCATTCTTTTGTGGGTGGGTATCCAGTTTTTCTGACACCGTTTCATCTTGGTACCCTTGTCAGAAATCATTTGACCATGTATTTAAGGGTTTATTTCTGAGCTCTCTATCTATAAGTCTGTCTGTTTTTATGTCAGTACCATACTGTTTTGATTACCTTAGCTTTGTGGTAAATGTTGAAATCAGGAAGCGTGTACCATCCAGCTTTGTTCTTTCTCAAGAATGTTTTGGCTACATAGAGCTCCTTGAGATTCCATATAAATTTTAGGATGGATTTTTCTATTTTCATAAAAAATGACATTATGAATTAGTAGCTAGCTTTGGATAATATTGCCATTTCAACAGTAGTGAGCCTTCTAATCCATGAATGCAGGATGTCTTTTCATTTATTTATGTCTTTAATTTCTTTTGGTAATGTATTGCGGTTTTTAGTGAATGTCTTTCACCTTCTTGTTAGTTAATCCGGGTTTTTTTATTATTTATATGCTATTGTAAATGGAGTTGTTTTCTTAATTTTCTTTTCTTTATTCAATGGATTTTTGTGTATTCTTTTTGTATCTTGCTACTTTGCTGATTTTTTTTTTTTTAGTTCTAATGGCTCTGTGTGTGTGTGTGTGTGATGTATGTGTATAATCTTTAGGTTTTCTGTATATAAAATTATGTCATCTGTGAGCAGAGATAATTTTACATTTTTCCTTCCAATTTGGTTATCTTTTATATCTTTTTCTTGCCCAATTTCTCTGTCTAAGACTTCTATTACTATGTTTAATAGAGGTGGTGAAAGTAGGCATCCTTACTTTTGATCTTAGAGAGAAAGAATTAAGTCCACCTCTGAGTCCAGTCTTACCTGTAGGTTTTTCATATATGGCCCTTATTATTTCGAGGTAGTTTTCTTCTAAGATTTTTGACTGTTAAAAGGGTGTTGAATTTGCCAAATGCTTTTTCTGCATCAATTGATAAGATTATGTGTGTGTTTCCTTCATTCTGTTAATATGGTATATTGAATCTCATATATTGTATCATCTTTGTATTCCATGAATAAATCCCACTTGGTCATGATATATAATATTTTTAATATACTGGTGAGTTCTGTTTGCTAGTATTTTGTTGAGGATTTTTGCATCAAAGTTCATAAGGGTCATAATAGTTTCTTTTCTTATAGTCTTTTTCTGATTTCGGTATCAAGGTAATATTATCCTCAATGGGTAAGTTAGGATGTTTTCCCTCCTCTTAGTTTTTTGTTAAGAGTTTGAGAAGAATTGGTATTATTTCTTCTTTAAATGTTTGGAAGAATTGACTAGTGAAATTAGCAGATTCAAGACTTTTCTTTGTTGGAAGATTTTTGATTACTGATTTAATCTCTTTACTAGTGTTATATCTGTTCAAATTTTCTATTTCTTCATGGTTCAGTGTGAGT